CTGTAAAGTAAGTAACTGTTAATTCATTTAAATTCAAAGTTCGTTTTTGTTTGTATTTTATTTATTTATATCCAGTAGGAGGGGAAGTAATTCAACAAATCCAGATATAAGTTTATTAAGAAACCTTATGCAGATGGTAATTTCTATTTACAAGAAAAGGAGTGAAAAGCAAACATTTTCTTTCCACTTGCTAAAATAATTTGGCAATCGAAAGAAAAGGTCGATGAATCCCATTGAACGGATAAATAGGTACCTACTCGAGAATGGGCCTCACTTAAGAACAATATAAATATTTCAGAGCAGCAGAAAAATGAAAACCACAGATAATCATTCGTAAAATCACAAAAATACAAAGATTCATAGTCCCCTACAACGCATATTTCCTGGATCCGTGAAATTGTTTTAGCGATTTCTAATTTTCGAAAACCTACAAGATGATCCCAAGATTATATTATTCACTAGAAATTAGTAGACCCATTAGTATACTATACTATGGATGAATTTAATATAATTCATAATACGTTTGAATGTAATATTACTTGGTAGGTATTTTTAATTATTATACAGTTATACATTACGTTTAAAGCCAAGACATTCACCCCAGCTTAACAACTGCTTCTTATCTGCCTGTAATGTCACGAAATCAAGAATAGATTGAATATTCATGAACAGCTTAACATCATCAACCAACTCTAGTATATTTATATGATGCAATATGGAGGGTGGATTATTCACCAACAGTGAAATAAAAAGTAATAATATTGCACCTTTAGGAAGGCACAGTGATTTGCGATTTAATCCCATCAAATAGTTTAACCCCCTGATGTCTGTTTGGAAAATAAAAAGCTAATCCAAGAGAAAAGATATTCACCGAAGCCATAATTATTTTATAATTATAACAATTAAAATAAAATATATATATTTTATATTAATAACAATAAAACATAATTTTATTACGAGTATAATATGGATAATGTATACTAATTAAATTCTACATATTTAGTAAATTATAAACTTTAATTTAATTTACATAAAAAGTATGGTGCATTCTAATTGCTAATATTTTTTGTCATGACACGACAGTTTTATATACTAACAGTTTTATAGTAAGTAAATATAATTATCTTTAAAAAATATTTAAATAATATACTTCATAATAAGTAAAATTTAATATCAAGTTAATTTAAAAACAAATTAATGGATTTTTATAAAACTTTTGAGAATAGCGTGGAAACATAACAAAATGTGTGTATACATTATAAATGATTGCATTACTATGCGTAATTTACTCATATAAACACCATATGTCTTATTGTGTGTATTTTTACCATAACCAGCACCTCATTACAAACCTTGAAATTGAATAAGGGAATAAAAATTAATTAAAACGATATCCGGGCACTTTTATGTATTTTTAATTAATGGAATGCAATTGAGCATCAAATCACCAGTCCCAAAAATTAAATTTTTTCTAAAAAAATTGAATTAGTAAAATCGTAGTTAAATAACATTCTTTCTTATAGACTATCAATAAATGTTGAATATTTTCAGATTTAATATTTAAAAATAAACGGTCCACGCAAATTTTTAGAAATATATAATATCTTAGCTATATTTATTATGATGAGTGAAAATGTATCATTAAGTGAGCATTATAATTTCGTATCTGTTTTAGGTTCATAATAATTTTCTCGCGAAGCGATATTTGGAATTTAAGTTTCAGTGGTACAATTTGTTTCATCGGAATGAATATATATTATAAAAAAAAAAGTGTGAGGGTATAAATAACTTTATAACAAGCAGTTGTCTTTTATTTTGAGTCGGTAAACTTCGTCAGTAATAAGCAGACTTTCGTTCACTCTAAAGTACTTTAACACTCAAATTACAGTCTTTAAATATGGTAATGATATACCTTGTTATAACTCATAAGTTTCGAATTTAATGTTGGACGTAGATATATACACTAGTTCTTGGATCTGATAATAATGATGATTCCGTAGTAAATATTTGTTAATTAAGTCATTTTTACCGTTGAACAAAATACGGATTAAACTTTTATACGTTGTCACTCGTCATTATAATAGTTTGCTGAACACCCGCGTCACAGCTTTCATGGTTAGGTTAGGTATAATAATAGTATGAGTCGAAGCTCGGAAATCGTCGATAAATATTTTGTATCTAGAATCAGCGCAACAGCGACAACCCCATGCCCCCGCCAAATGTCAGGATAAAAAAGGTTATTTACATATACCTAATACGTACCTGCGCATTATTCCAGTACAAACGACGACCGAGCAGGTTCACGATAATAATATAATAGTAGGTATATAATAGTTATATATAGATAGGTGTATACAGTATAATATTATATAATATGGTATACCGACGAGATTTATTTTTTGCTATTCTCTGCTTTGGCTTTTGCGTCCGTGTACTTGCGCATTATAATAGTGGTCAATTGGAAAAAAAATATACACACACATATATATATAATAAAATAAATAATTGGTCGCCGAACGTTACGCAGAGAAACGATGACGACGACGGTACGGTATACCCATGTCACATGTATAAACCGTATTAAAGGTCGAAAGCGGTGATATTTCGTATACATATACGATGGTGGTCGGAGGTGAGGTGGTCTTGTGGGTGCTGCGGGACGACGATGACGGAAGGCGGAACCGTTGCCTATTATGCGAACGTCCGTTCAAAGGCTCCATTAGTCAACGGTTGGTGTGTGTTTATGTATGTACTTATATATATATAATCGTTTTGTGTGTGGGTGTGGGTGTGGGTGTGTGTGTGAGCTCGCACAAGCTTGCAACCCGTTGCACAGTTGTAGCGAAAACGTTTATATTATTCACTATATCGCCGCAAATACCCCGTGTTAGGAGAAGGCCTTTGACAAAACCCTCTCTACACCCTCCCATCAAGCACGAAACCATTCGTTCGACGTTCGGTTTCCTGCGCCGCAGACGTTGACAACGACGCTAACGGCAGCCGTAGGTATGTTTTATAGTAAAGACCTTTATAGTATTATGTGAATACGGTGCACATATACGTCACACAGTCACACAGAGTACCTATATATGGCTATACTGTATATTACATTATAAAGACGCTGTGAATGCTCGACAAAAAAGCATATTATCGGTGGCGTGGCGGAGGCGGAGAAACACGCTTGGCCTTTAGAAAATCTGCGGAGAACGTGATTTTGCGGGGAAGCGTTAAAAAATTACCTCGTTAAAAGTATATACCAGCAACACCGGGCAGTATTGTCGACTGCAAGCAGTAGAATTTTTTTTTTTACGTCGTCAAAAATACACTTCGTTAAAAAAGAAAGCCATTTGCAGGACATTTTTCGATTTTATCACACACCTTTCGTCTTTCAACTCCAAACCAAAAGCACGAATTCGACGATCCGCAATCTGCACCGTCGACGATTTCCTCCGTACAAGTGAACCGAACGTTTTGATATAATAGGTACCTACTACCTATACCTACCTATATTATAATATTGTTTAACAGAGATCAGAGAACTAGATCAATAACGGGTCGCACACAATGTTTCAATCTAAATAATAATATATTGGACACGCCGTGATGATAATAATAATAGCTGCATTGTTCGTAATACGTGAATTTCCAGATAATGGGAGGAAATTACTTAAAAGGAACACTGTAGCTCTTCATATGGGTTAATGTTATGTTATATAGATAGGTATGGCGTACCTGTACACAGGGTTATAACCTTATAGGTAACTAATATTGCACACGAGCGTTGAGCAAGAAGCGACGATGTGAAGGGATTACACTTCCGGAAGCGAAGTTATTACTATAATATTTGACGTCATTCGAGGTTATCATAATATCACGCTTGTATATTATAATATTTGAAACATCATAATGTAAATAATAGTTTATATTATATTCTCCTAAGTGTTGATTATTAGTAGGTAATATTTATGAGTTAGCTGAGAACTGCTATTACCTATAGTATTCTTATTTATAATCTCTTGCTATTTATTTGCGTTGACGCCTTTGAGTCACAGAAACTGAAAATTGGGAAATTTCTTTCAGAAAAAAATACAAATGTAATATTTTAGTAAATAGGTAATAGATTATAATTTATAAATTAAATTATAGATATGATTTTATATAGGTAACAATATTAACATTTTTATATTTTAAATGATTGGATTTTAAGGCGTGTGAACTATTTTTCATATAAATAAATACATAATAATATAGTATAATAATTCCAAAGGGATCCACAAAGAGATAACTAAACTCTCCCCTAGACCTGCGCATGTTAGCTATAATATCCAACACCGTGCCATGTAATAATATGATACCAAGCAACCCGAATTGTTATTAATTGATAGCCTTTGTAATATGATAGGAATATAAAATATCACGAATTCACGACGTTATTAGTGGTATACCTAACTAGTAACTAGCGTATACTTATACCGTTAATAATTCTACCTTACACATTGTTTATGTATTATTATATTTTAATATCATATTATAACATGAGAAGACGAATAAGATTTCTATCACTAGGCCAGAGAATTCCTTTGACATTGATGTATCGAAGTCAAAAATATGTTCGCACGTTTTCATTTAACTGAAAAATATAATGGATAACACAAACCCGTCCTTTGGGTTTTATACGGACGTAGTAAAACTATACATATTATGGTACATGAACATTTATATATTCCGAAATGTACATTTTGGAACAATCAACCATAGTGTATTATGTGTGTGTGTGTGTATTGTAGTAACAATATCGTTAAGGTCCAAACTATTTTTTAATATATTGTTTTAGGAGAAACCTAACCTTAACCGCGGCAAGCAGTATATATAAAATGCCCTTAGGGGTTAAGTTAATGTAATGAGTACTCAATCTTCTTTTTGACATAATCGCAAAATATTTTAACCCTTTTAGGATTAACCTTATACTTTATACTTGTAATATAAACAAATGTACTTACGTTCCCACGGACACCCGTAGATCTCCACACGCATGCAGACGGTTCTGGGATGGGCGCTGAAGGGCACGAATCGTATTCTACTCGCCACAAATGGAAGTTCCAATTCTTGATTGACCGACAAATAAGTATTTACATTGCCCGGCAATACCTGGAATTAAATATGAAATAAAAAAATATTATAAAATGTGCACATAAATAAAATATTGTTAAAATTGGTAGGTAATAATTGATGACGTGTGTATTATACTGTTATACATAATATTTAGAATATTTAATTAGGATTACGTATTATCGATAATATTATTATTCATTGAATTATTGGTTATTAGCTAGTTTATTATCTAGAAATATTTAAGTTTCATAAAGTTTACACATTAGCTTGCATCGTAGCAGTGTAGCACTGTAGCATAATAATATTACCCATTAAAAATGTAATTAACAACAATATTGACTCTTCCAAACATTTTACTAGTCTTATGATAATTGTGTTATATTCATGGACTTGTTTAGAACCTTAAGTTGATAAAAAAATTTAAATATTGAATATCTTCATAATTAATTTTATCATACTTTAACAAGTCTATAATTATCAACAACTAGAATAATTATTACAGTTATCAGTTAAACACTTAAAACAAATATAGTTATCAAAAGGCATTGCAGATTAAATTATTGAATTTAATTAAATATGAATTATATTTTATGTCAATGAGGTAATCAAAACTTTACCATTTTTTTTTTTTTTTGAAGTAAAACAAAGTTTTTAAATTAATTTTTTTATTAAAGAAATTGCTTGAAGATGGTTTGAAATTTAACTCCAGGATAAATGTTTGCATATAAATACAGAACTTATATGTAGTAAATAGAAGCTTAAAACTTATTTTGCAGTAACCAATTTGAGAGTATTCGCCAAATATGACAGTTACAATGCTGTCAAAAGGTAGACTGAAGGGCAGAAGGAAAACTTCTAGAAATGTACTACAAACTAGCCGTATAAGTTTATGGCCGGGAAAACTTGAAAACAAAAATGTGTTATTTCTCCTAAGTCTTAAAACAAAATACAAAACCCAAAACGATTGTTCGTTGTAAATCCTCCTAAACTGTATACCCTAACTTCGTCTAAGTATGTATTATTGTAAATGCCTAACTACTAGTAATAATCAATTTGTTGTAAGATTTTATTAGGTTAATTTGAACTATTGCATTTATTATTCACACAATATTATAGGAATTCACAAAATTGTTATTTAAAACGTAACAACAATTTTAATGGTTTAAATAATTACCTACATTCTAGTATAAAATCAGTAATTATTTTTTAATCACATTTTTTTTTTTAAATTATACGTAATTACTAATATAACAGATGTTATAAATTTTATAGGTTCTATCAAATGTCTCCAAAATTGTGATGAATGTTGCTTGGATTTACAAGATTGCAGAACAAAAATTGAAATTGTATGATAACATTTTAATTGTTTTCAAATTTCAAATTTAAGTTCTTTAATGACAATTTTATCAATTCTCTTCAAGAGGAGAACAATAGTAATTAATAATTATCTTCTATTTGTTGTTTTATTTCTATATTATATACTTCGAACACGCCATAATGATACCAGTCAAGTTTTAATTTTAATAAACTTTCGGCATATTTTAATATAGACCTAAAATAATGTGTTAGCTGAGCTTCAAAGTTAAACGGTTATTATTTTTCCTTTTAAATATTACAATATAATACAACTAATTACAATTTAATTATTTCGCCATAAGAGAATAATAACAATAAATACACGTATCCATTTAAATTACATGTAAATGTAATTGAATATTTCTAGGTAGTCATATAGGTAGATACAAATAAAAATATAAAACGTAAAACGATCAAAATTCTGATTTTATTACTGCATTGAGTTTAGGCACAGTTGTTACGTTGTTAAAGCTAAAAAGTATGAACTTCTTAATAAGCACTTAAACTATCATCTTTTTTTTAAAACAGTATTCTATGCCATATACCTACTGTGTTTTAGTATTAAAAGAGATCATACACAGAGTTTTGATGTTATCGGTTTTGGGGCTCACTCAAGTGTGTATAATATTTAACGTGAAACTTCGGGACACTAGTGAGTGGGTGAGATTTGGGTGACAGGTGAAGATAACAAACTGAAAACGCTCTATGTTTATGATTGGATATTAATATTATTATTATTATTACTCGTGGGTTTTAAGTAATAAACAAGGAATTGTTGACATCCGTCATAAAAATCATAAATTATGGACATTTAGGTACCCTGCATGGTCGAAGTGATCAACGATAACGTGTAGAATAATCGTTGTATAAAATATTATGATAATATTAGAGATTTTACGGACAGAATTATATGCATTTCTTTATCAAGTCAGTGCTAACATGGTTTTTCAGATCACGTAATATTTAATGTTTTAGCTTAAATTTAAAGCGTTCGATAGCTAACTATCATTGAATTAGTTATTATAGATTAAATTATATAATTAGAGTGCATCCTACAGAAGACTTACTACGCAACCCAATCAATCGACAAATTTTTTGGTCTAGCCTTGCTGATCGTGCCTCCCCCCTCTTAACAGCCAACTGACTCGGTTGATCTTCTTTCCTTTGCTATTTGCAGTCAGGTTCAGAGTTCCAAGACGTTTTACTAGCGAAATTGATCTTTTTGGTATTCCTCTACCCACAACAATAAGTGTCTGTCAAATTCTCCCTTTCTACGTTTATTGAGACATGTAAACTATAGGACCCTTATTTTTATTTTTATCAAAACGATGTTTATATCCATTTTTATTATATTTATAATATTATTTTTATTGTTATCGTCTTCATTTTATTTTTACCAATATACTTTATAAACAATTATGTAACTGTTGATTGACGTTTACACTTCATTATTTTTTTGATAGGGCTTTTAACCAACAACATTATCTAATACACAAGTAAATATGCTATGTTAAATATATAGAGAGTGTCCACACATTATAATATACGTACTCTGCCTTCTCTTGAGTCTTTGTATTCAACCCATCTGCCAATGGACCTTCTCCAATACTCGACGGTGAAAGCTTCAGTGAACTCTTGTCCCTGGCCGTTGCCCCACCGCCCTTGCGTTTCGGTCCACGTGACCAGATGGTCTTCATCCAGGTCGATCTCCAGATATTCTCTGACTTCGCTGCTGATTTGCGCTTTTGGGCACCACGCGCCTCCGTTCTTCTCTTGGCGAATTCTAAAACAATATACCGTACACTGTATTATAATGTTATTAATGTTATTATATTAGTATTAACATTAGCATAATGTTATTGCTGCGTGTGCGTTATTCGATGTTTTGTTGACGTTGCATTGATGAATAACAATGCATAATGTAACATAATATTATACCAATTATATTATTATGATGTAAAACAATTACGAAAATTAGCTTCGAGCACAACCTTTATAGAAAGATTTCACAATAACTACGATTTTAAATGTTTAGAATTTAAACTTTGAAACAGGATAATTTTTTTTTTCTTTATGAATAAGATTTTGTTATGAATCATTATTGCACTTAACAGATTACCGATCATAATATTATAAGTATTAGAGAAAATATTAATTCTACATTTCACCATTTTCTCAACTCAATCCACACCAATACGAAAAACTAATAGTATATTGTGTGGCAAGGGTGGGAAGTATTATGTATACATTACTTTTAATCAAATATGACATTCAAAATTATTACACCCAAGAAGATGTATATATTATTAACTAAATAATCTTTTACTCCTTTTTATCATTTTATAAAATCTATAGGCATAGAGTTTGGTAAGACACGACAATACACAATTACAATTAAACAACTAAAAATTACAATTTAACTGTTACTGCTGTAAACTGCCTAAGCTGAACATATTGATACAGGAACAATACAATGCAGTTCATTTTTAGAAAAACCATTATGTATATTACTAAGGGAATATTGGCTAGAAATCGCCTGTAAAAATTTGAAAAAACTATTGTATTCAAGCGGGGGTTTTGGGGTTACCCAGCCCCCCCACCCCAATCCCGAATTGTTTGTTTGTGTACGATCCTGATAGTCCTCTGGTGCTGTGGTCCTCCAGGTCATAAATGATTATTCGTCTTTATAAACGATGAGACGACAGACACAACAACTTATATATTATAATATATTTTTCATTTAAATTAATAGTTCATACGTATTTTATTCGAATAAGCATAATATTTTACAAGAAATAATTGAATAGATACGACCAATAAGACGGTTTTTTATATTACCCGACAGACTATTGTATACGAATAATTTAAAACCACCATTTTTGCGTAGACTCGCTCTAGCTACTACTCCCCAGCCCCCCCCCACCACCTAAACATTACAATAGAAATATATGTCATGTATTTATCATTGCAAGTCGTGTGACGTGTATTAATGCGGATCTCGTATCGCTATGATTGTCAAACAGAGTATTTATATGGAACATCGTTAACGTGTTTGTACAGACACATAATATGAACATTGGGTGCATTTACTATACCGCGAATCGCAATATCGGTTTATTGCCATTATAATAATATACATAATAGTATTATTGTTATTATTATTATTACTAGCATTATCATTATCATCATCATCATCATTAATATTATTAATTTATTATTATTACACGATCGTCGCACCCCGGAATGCAGCAGCATTTATGCTGGAATTTCGGTGCTTATAGTACGGCGAAAATTACACAAACGACCGACCGGATTCTCGGGATAATCTGTGTACAACTATTTCCGAAACATCCGATGGCGTTTGGCGATTTTTCCGCCATCGTGATTCACACACCCGATCGGCCGGCCGGACGGAAAAACACAATGCCACCGGGTCCGCTGTCGTACACATAATATATACACAATACCGTTATATAGATTTACCATTTATACATAAACCACCATATTGTTCAACAATAATAATGATAACAATATAATACTAGATAATATAATCGTATTTTATTGGTCGAATAGTCGGCGCGTATGGGTGCTGCTCGACTCGGGCGAGTGTACATTAATTATCACTAGTGGGAGGCTAAGGAATTCCCGAGTGAAATTCTAGGCCTACTATTTAGGAGCGGGATCTCCAGTGACCGTGATATTATCTACTACGGTGGATGAGGAACGGTTAACTTTCAAATTTTGTTCGATAAAAATACACCTAACGATTGTATACGAATGGAAATATATTACTCTTTCACTATAATATTATGTTCATGCCAATTTATGCATGACTATCGAAAAACCTTGACTGAAAAAAATCAACCAGCTCAAACTTCAAAAAGAGTGCATCACTGCACACTGTATAGATTTAATACCAAATAACTATTATCATACGTGAATAACGTTTTCAGTCATGCTGTAATGGGTAAAATTGCATATTTTTGTGCGATTTTTGCTAGAAGTTAAAAAGAAATGCATGTACAGAACAATTACCCAACCTTTATAATACTTAAGTAATTTAATTAAAGATGGAAGAGATCATCTGGAAACCCGTGGTTGACCAATTTACCAATCTTGTGACACTATAATATTTTTATGGACGCGAACAGACGGTGAACAATAAACTATTGTTTACATCTTAAAAAGTATTAATTTAATATCTCAACATAAAAACCATAATATGCGTATTAATATAATGTACCTACCATTTATTTAAGTATTTTATGTACTCATTTTACAAGACTAAAAATGAACCTCATAAAGACGAAAATACTTTAGCTCAGGCTAGTGTATATAAGGACACTTCGCAGAAAATGGAAAACTCGAACCTGCATAATCTAATTGTAAACGAATAACGCTATACGCTTTCGTTTTGTCGCAAAAAAAAAAAAAACCATCATCCAATATAATTATTGTTAATTGCTTCTCAGTTTTTATATTTTTATCGAGCACAATGACGTTGGTACGCCAGTGGTCGTTTTTGTAGCCAGGAACAAACGAATGAGTTGGTTCGTTGTTCAAAATAAGTCGTTGTCACTATTTTATATAATAATTATCTCTCTATAATAGAACCGTAGCTCTTGGTGTTGCGGCGAGAGAGAGAGAAAATGAAAGAGATGAAAAAACTATATCGTTATAAGCAAATTTCCGAACAACCGTAGTAATTAAAGACGATTTTTTTTCTGTGTCCAACATGCAACATCCTATTTATTCCAATCACTGTAAAAGCATTTGTCTTTATTTATTTTATGATTTTTTTTTCTTTATATTATACAATTTGAAGTATTAATAAAAAGTTTCTAGTGTATATATACATACACTTGTTTAGCTTAGCACAAGCAATTCATTCCGACTATAGAGCAGCGGGGTATAGAAGTTGTGCAATTTGTTTAATTTCGTTTCGTTTTGATAAAAATGTCTTTTAAAAAAAAAAAAAAATACATAAAAAAAATCATTTCACATAATTCACGATAACCTAATTAATGACTTTAATTATTTGGTTGGACTTGCAGTTTGTTTGTTGGTTGACAGAAAAAAATCCATCAATAATTAAACTGCGAAAATAATTAATAAAATAAAAAACAAATAAAAACTTTAATTGCTTTTGGACACAACGGTACTGCTCTTAATGGTACGCTGTCCAATTTATGATCTAATTTTATATTTTATTTCCGCCGGTGATTTATCGTTATTGTGCTGCAATTATAGCGGATAAAAAGAGATATTAGTACCACCGGAGAGGGCCTTTTTCGGTTTTAGCGAAATATAATAACATTATATTATATAAAAAAAATTAGCTGTACGTTGTAGGTATATACACGTGTTACCTGTATGCTCATTACTAAGTCTTAGCTTTAAGTTGTGGCTGGTTCAAATCATCGACAAATGAAAAAATTGATTTATATTTTAAATATTAATTTTCAGGATTGTATTAAAAATAATATATAGGTATTTAGTCTGGTACAATATTATAAGCTGCAGTGATTGAAAACACGGGATTCGAACTACGAAAGTCGTTAAAATCGCTAATATCGAGCTTACACCCCGGTAAGACTTTATTATTATACTATCTTAATATGCATTATCCGGTCGGTCGCAGTTTTAAGAGGGCACAACAGTAAAATCACATCTTACTAGGGTGGAATTTATGGTGAAAGCTGGTCTTCACCAATCCCACATTGTGATTGTACTTACCCTTATGCTGTTAAAATTATTATAGGTAAGTACAAAGCAATTCTCTCCAGCATTGGAGCAATCTCTTTAATTTGTTTTCGATAAACTCACAGTTGTTTAAAATTAAGATTAAATTGTGTTTTTTTACAAGTAAACAGTAAATACTTATAATTATATGCAAACACCAACCTAATAATTGTATTATTCATATCCATTTGTCATAAATGATTCTCTTTTGACCGTTAAGCAAATAAAATATTATCAACGTGAAAGTTAAGATCATACATGATGCGTAATAATGACTTTTACTGTGTACATGGATTATAACTTTAAATTTATACTAAAAACCATGAAGTAGTATATTCTATAAACACTGACGTAGTTCTTAAAGTTTAATTATAATTTAATGATTAAATTAAAGCAACGAGTATAGCTCGTATTATAAAATATGTATTGTCTCTTTGATTTATATGCCTAATCAATATTATAATTTATCACAGTTTATCTGTAATAACTAATAAGATATTTCAACTTCAATACTAATCTATATATTATCGAAAATTGTATTTACATTAAAGTTTGATTAGCCGTGAAAATATATATCGTCTCATTTGTCAACCCTACGTGGATGCTCGCCGACGATTTGTCTCGGAACAGAATTTATAAATGTATTTAATTGTATATTGTGTAGTTGGTGCAGTGTCTGAACTGGACTAAAGTGGTTGTGGGTCCCTAGGGTCCACACAATGCTGAGTCCCAAAATTGAATCGCTAATCGTAATTATTTTAAATTTAGAACGTTCAAATGGCGTCAAATAATTAAAAATGAAAATAAATTGAAATGCTGTAAAATTTGTTTTTGTTTTTCATTAATTAAAGTGTTACATAAAATTATTACTTATAAAAAATGTTGTCAGTGATATATACATTTAAAAAATAAGAGAGGCAAAGTTATCAAACTATAAATATTTTATTGTTATTTAATTTTTAATTTCACTATTTTACTTGTCACATAGGTATTATAACATATAGTAAACGTTCCTACATTTATTATTTACAGTCAATAGTACACGTACATTAACATAAAATATTCGTGATTTATTGATTCTTACCATGATGGATTTAAATAGTAATAGTGAAATTCATTATAATAACATAATATTATGATTTAAAGCAGCTGAAACGAGAAAGTCCCGTGTTTAGTGCATCTGAAGGTACCATGTCAATATATTATACCTACTGAATAACAATACATATATTATATATATATATAATTCGTGTACACTGTACATAACTTTAACATACATCGAACTCACGTTAGGACGTAACCAGGAATATTGGGCAGTGCACACGACCGGAATTCTATCGTAACAACCACAATAGGCCATCCGGTCTCCTCTTACAAAACAGAATATAAAGGTCCTATATTATATAGAACATAATATTATTATTGTGGCTGGGCAATAAGATTTTACCAGAGTTTATGCGAATAGGGCTTTCACGTCAGTTGATTGCTTACAGCCCGATTTTATTTATGAATTAACCGAATATTAGTGTAAAATGTATTCTTTTTCTATTCGTCATTCACATTCGTTTCGTTAAATGTGATATGCGTCGGTACTATTAGGATAACACTACTGAATGACGATAATATATATATAGAACCCACACACATATAATACGGTCCCAAATTCTATAAAACGAGACCATCAAATGTTTTTAAAAATTTAATTGTGAAATTCACACCCGATAAAACCCCGAACAATATTAAATGATATTATGGTAATTCGGTGTGAAAAAATCTAAACAATAATATTACGATGTAACGTCTGACGAAAACGGGCGCATCTGGAGCGAAGGGCTGCCGTTCCTCGTGCCGTCTATACTTACCCAGACCCCGCGGGTCTCGGACGCCTTTGAACAACATGACACGACTTAAGATCCGGGTTACGCCAGTGATTCGTTTACCAGAGAACCCTAACGCGGGTGAGGGCGAGCGCCACCGGGCCGAGGGTCCCAACGGCATAATATATTATTATGACGTGTACACGGGCCGCGCCCTCACGAGGGTCGTGTTTGCCGGCGCCCCGTATATAATGCGTGGGGGGGGGGGCGTGACACCGTGTCAAACGTTATCACTCATTAACGGACCGCGTCAAAAGGATTAAGCCCGAGACCTTTATATTATTATTTTATTGTAGGTACACACGAAATGTGATGCACCTACCTATATATACACAGCGGCGTCTCAGTTTTGTGTTTTTTGCTCACTCTTTCGACCTAGGACTTCCCGACGGTCGTCCCGCGGCGCACGGCCCAGATAATAATATTAATGGCGTTTTCCTAATTAAAACCAACATCCCGGTAGAGTCGTCGTCGTCGTGGCGGCGGCGGCGGCGGTGGTAGTCGCAACGCGGACCGACCGACAAAGTTTTAATGAACATTAATATTGAGAGGGACGACGCGAGTACACAATCACCCGCACATCCGCACTCGCTAACACACACACACACATATATGTACCCATCTAACGACCCTTGCCGTCAGTATATTATAATGCACCATACAACTGCAGTCGGTGTATAACTATTTATATAACATACAGTTTACACACTGCCGACAAATGACAAACGCGCAGTTTTGGAGAAAGTTCAACTGGCCAAAATCGCAGTGCACGTGGATTTATGGGTGATGCTGCGGGTGCGTCGTACAGGGCGTGATAGTCTCGAGGGCTGCAGTAGGTTTTTTTGAAAGTCTTTAGATTTATGAGAACGATTTTTTTCTCTGGTGTCTAACTTTACATAATATATTCTAGATACCTACCTAATAGCTGATAATATATTAACGATTAAGAATATCGATTTAATGTTCAACATAAGAGACCTCCTCAATATTATACCATGGTATACAACTTCAACTAAGGCCCAGCATCAAGTTCCGGCGCTGGACCGAGTCCGAATACCACATATCGTGCCCATGCAGGAGTGCGTCGTTGAGAATTGCGTTTCAGAGCGGAAGACAATGAAAAAATCACAATCGTACCTACCAAAAAAATAAAATATTTTCCAGTCCCGCTTATCGTTTAACTAACAATACCATCACGTAAATACTATGTTTACAATAATTATAGTATATTAGGTACTATGTGTGCGTACTATGATCCTGACATCACGATTAGTTCTGATTGTTTTCTTCAAAACGTTTTTATGAGCTCAAAATTATTATTATAGGTTGACGGGATGACCGGTGACCGCTGTTGATGAATATAAAAACACGGATAAACAATTTAGGTCTATATAATATAATGATGAGACAGGCAGTAAAAAATCCGACATATGCATACATTGGAACCTCCAGTTAACGAACTTGACGGTTCATTGAAAAAAATCGTTAGATAATAATAACGTTTCTTTTTTTCACTTGAAAATCTTATACCTACAAAATTACTATAAATAATAATGTATACATAACAGTGTAATATTATATAATATCATAGTCTAGTAAACTGAGTCTACAGTTATCAGCCATTTGCTGATTTTTCTTCCAAAGCATTGATAATTTTAAAGAGTTAGTAACTTATTGTTTGGTATAAGCAATTAAATTATAAGAAAGAGTTTTGTTTTGCCTACATTAAAGATATTGTCAAGTTTGTACTATTTTTAACATTTTGTATAATAACCTATCTTTCCATACGCTGGAATCTTCCTAAGAGCTATTATTTATCTGTGACACCGTGAGGTTTCAGTAGCTATACAAAATTAGTCCGTTAAATAGAAATGATATTGAATGAAAATGTCATAGTTCGCTAAAAACAAAAAGTTGTTCAATAGAAGGCCGTTAAACAAAGGTTGCATTTTATCTTTATACTTTTTAATTATTAATACTGTTTTTTTTTACTAAATTAAAACGCCTGTACAATGAGGCATTCTAATCGTCTAATGCTGTCAAGACTTCTCTGAGGAAATGGGTCCATAAAATGCAACTAGTAGAAGTCTTAACTTATATGTTTATATTATTACAATATGGACGATATAAAGCATCAAATAACTTAAGCCAATAAAATTGAATGTGAACATGTAGGTATAGGTAAACGCTACTCGCTTATTCATACTACTACCGGGTGGCGAGTACTGATAGGTATTATGCTTTTATTTTAAAGAAGACGGCAAAATATTACAATATTTCAAGTTTTATTTTAATAAATTATCATAGTAACAATTGTTACAATTGTTATTATTAATAATAATAATATCAAATAATAAGTACTGAAGAATTTAATTATGGATCCTCAATTCTATTACCACTCATTTAGTTTTCTATTTACCCAAAATTCAATTGAAAATTATTCGTTTTTAAAATAAAGGAAATAACTGTTGAGGGGATCACTGGCTATCACTCAAACCTCTTCATCTCGTTAAATACACCATCTGTAATGCGAAATAAATTACCTCGGTGAGTGTTAATTTCCAAGCCAGAATTTAATAGTTAGGCACCAGCTCTTTCACTATACCGACCTTATATATATATATATAAACTGATCCTGCACGGTTTCCCGTGACAAATTAAATAATGCTAGTGGGTTTACCCTGTCTTAAACTCCGTTAAATGTAAAGTACACATATTTGTAATACAGTAATTTGGCCGGTTTTGACTAAATGTAAAATACAGGTTTAAAATTATAACCAAATATAATAACTATTTTATTTTTCTGTAACCAAATAATAATAGCAACCATATTCAAACAAAAAATATTGGATATCATTTATTAGTTCATTATTACATGGTGCTACGACGGTACCACGTAATTCTCTTGTGGCTCTACACATTGTTTTGGATTTATGTCGATTAGTCAGTCAGCAGGGCGTCTTCTTTTATCTATACACAGATATATACGAAATATATTCGCTCAAATGCGTATTTAGAGAACGAACCGTTATCAAAAGTGGACAGTGGTCACAATCTTTAATGCATTAGTGTTCTTCTAAATGTGAAAAAATAAAAATGAATTCATGATATAATGATATTGATTTATTAATTTTGCCAGAGGCGTCCATCATCTCACTCATTCTCTTCCTGAATATAATATTCCGTTGTAACCGAGAGTAGGTCTTGTTCCTTTTTTACACCAAAGTCATACTACGAGCGTGTCGTCATTTATCATCATCATTTTTGCAGCCGTTTTCAAACTCTATGGTGGTAGGGGGGGGGGAAGTTAGCAGCCAGCTCGTTGATTATCTCTCTCCACTCCCCTCTTCGGCTACAACTTAACATCGTTTCCGAGCATGTTGTTGTTGTTTTTTCGTCTGTTTCGTCTGCGCTTGTAACATTACTACTACTACTACTACTACTCCTACTACTACTACAGTTATGCGTACTTCCGTGTGCCCATCTATTTTCGTTTCCCGGACGACAGGGTATCCACCCTCGTTCGACTGCCCGGAAAACGCTAAACACCCGCGAGATCGTTGGCCACTCATCGGGTCACGAGTTTGGATCTTGCCGACGAAACGATTTCCCGAGAGATACATACGCGTACCCGATAGGTGAGGTAGTTATCACAGTAATTATAATTATGACGAAAACACAGTGTATATCGTACTATGATAATATTTTTTAATTGCTGTAAGAACAACTTTTTAAGGACATTGTTGACATCACGTTTTCAAACTTTAGACATTTACGGAACAAAGTTTTAAGAACAAAATAAATTGTGAATTTTCAGGATTTTAAACAAAGAAAACTAAAATTTTTTGTAATTTTATCTATGATGAAATATTTTTATTTCACAAGTCTCCACAACAATAGAACCCGATTTCCGTCTATTGTAGTGCATAATATGTACTTACAAGCTATATTATTATAATAATAGTATGTATCATTTCGTAATAGAGTCGTTCACCTGTAATCGTCTCTGACAAAGTTTTCAGTAAAGCTTTTAGAATACTCACTAAGCCACGCGTTTGCTAGTAGGTAACTTCAATACTATAGTGACTATTATATATTATTTATTATTCTTGAAAAATAATTTGTCTGGCGCCGATGACGAGTTGTCATATTTTCACCCGTTTTTCGTCGATCAAACACAGTTGTTGGGGATCGTTTTTCATTTTGTTTTTGCATATTATTATTAAAACGTTGGAATCTCGAGGCTTATTATAGGACCTTGGGTGTGTGTGATCGCGTAGAACATAATATACAACCAGCGGAGAGAACAATTTGAAATTCCATCTTCCCTTTTAGTCGACATAGTTATATCTACGTTAGACCCGTCGAACATTGCATACATAATCTAGTGCCTATTATTTGTTATAGTTTGAAATATCAAATGAGTGTATGGATATAGAGATCAAAATACCGGGAAATATCCCAAACAAATGGGAGTATGATTCCAGTGGGATGGGGGAGGATACAACCGTTTCTTATTCGAAAACAAACCCTATAGGTTCTGCGAAAATTCGTACACAATAATCGTGTATGAATATACGATTGCTTATATTATATCTACTGCGTGGAATAAACCAATACGAAGAAAAAGCCCTCAACTCCCCTGGAGCTGTCCGCTATCAGCCCTTAGCCTCTAAACGAATATCTCTCTCCTTTTATATTATACAGATATACCCTGATATTTTGCACTTATGCAGTGCAGTGCAGCATATACACATAACCTTTGAGGGGTTAGCAGAAAACATGTCATGCCGAAAGTTGTCCAACAATGCTATACAAACGGAAAAGATGAAAGAGCTTGTTTATAGCATAAAAAAAATATCCGAACAAACGATTGCGTTTTCAACGTGAGCTTGGCTGCTTAAAAGTTGAAACTGGTGAAAACAAAGTCCAAAAAATTATGAAAGTCTTCTGACACGGGCCAATAGTATACCAGTGGAGAAGAAAGAAGCGTTTAGCACAAACAAAAATGTCACAACCAACTGTAAATGCGCCGCCAGCGTGGGCTTTTGGCTGCCCGACATTTCGAATCGGTAGACTAGAGTTGAGAAAGTCCAATAATGATTTTTTGGACGGGTCGGT